TATAGTAGTGGGGCCTAAGGCCCTATCTTTTGGGTCCTTAGACCCTTAGGGAATGCAATAAGGAATATAAAGACCCTGGTAGGTGCATTCCTCTCATATTCCTACTATATTCTTCGAGTTCCCACCCTAAACCCTAAACCTTAAGCCCTAAGCCCTTAGCCCCAAGCCCGAAGCCCTAAGCCCCAAACCTTAAAACCTTAAATCCTAAACCCTAAGCCCTAAATCCTTAGCCCTAAATCCTAAACCCCAAGCCCTAAACCCAGGCACGCGATCTTGAATGGAGTTTTGGGCCCTGCCATGATTCGAGCTTTTGGATCTGCCTTGCGGCATACTGTGGGTTGGGCAGTAGGGGTTGAAGAAATGGATCTCTAGGGTTCAGGGTTTAGGGGTTTAGGGGTTTAGGGGTTTAGGGTTTAGGGGGTTAGGGTTGAGGTTCTAGGGGTTAGGGTTGAGGGGTTTAGGGTATGATCCCCAATAATCACTAAGAATCCTATACAATCCCAGTTTCCATTGATTTTTCCATTTTCTTCTCCATTTGATTCTCCATTGATGGGGTAGGTCTAATAGTCGTATCCAGTTCCGCTTCCATTATCCCAATATGTCCCCAATATAACCCCTATACCCCCTAAAGAACATCGTGGTTTCCATATCCTTCTCCAATCTTTCATTCCGTGGTACTCAACCTACGCCCTCAAACCCCGAGCCACCACGAGTATGGTTTAGGGTTTAGGATTTGGGTCCATTCCTTTATTTCGATAAACAAACTGAAGCCCTGAATCCTGCACCCCAACTAATGTAGCAGTTCGCATGCTGATCCACTTCTCCGCTATTGCCGCAATATCCCTCTGTAGATCATCCTTATGTAACCCTATACCACCCCTACAAACTGGCCCTAAGCCTTAAATCCTAAAACCTGAACCCGGCTTTCTCTTGAACAACTAAACTGGTTTTTTCCTACCACTTAGAAGGTCAGGGGTTTATAGGGGTATGAGTATAGTTACCCTAAACCCTAAACCTTACCTGATCATACTTTCTAAGTCCCCTAAGCCCTGACCCTCTCAGCCTCCGTCACCAAGCCTCTGGCTTTTTCCATGCAACTATCTGCTTCATTGAGCGCGTCCTGCAGAGCCTTGCGCCGATTAGTGTTTAGGGTTTGGGCGGGTTTGGGCTTAGGGTCTAGGATTTAGGGATTAAAGTTAATCTTTTTTGGATTTAGGGCTTAGGATTCAAGGTAGCAGATTTAGGGTTTAGGATGTTGGATGTAGGAGTTTGGGTTTTGTATTTGGGGTTTAAGCATTAAGGTTTAACATGTCGGGGCTGTCATTCAAAAAGCGAGCACCTCTTTCAAATCAACAGACCTGCAAGTCCTAGGAGTACCTGACCAGAAATAACCGCATCAAACAAAGTTACGTCTACTTCAACGCACGTCTCCCAAGCGAAACGCCACATGAGTAATTCGAAAACTCAGCATTCGGGTGCACAACAAAAGGCCAAACGGGGAAAAGATCAAACGAGGTTTCCATAAATAGGGGGACCTAATATCGACCCCCAAATACGTATATCCTAATTTTGCACCCCCTAAGCCGAAAACCCAAAACCCCTAAACCCTAAACCCCGAAATCCCCAAAACCCCAAACCAAAAAAACCCAAAACCCTAAACCCTAAACCCCCAAACCCTAAACCCTGCACCCACCCCTGAAAAAGGGACCGAACCCTCAAATCTTGCCCAGAGTCCGCCAAGTCATTCCTGGGTGGGTGGTGCATGGGGCGCCAGGTACACAATTTAGGGTTTAGGGCTGAGGGTTCAGGGCTTAGGATTTAGGGTTCAGGATTTAGGGTTCAGGATTTTAGGGTTCAGGGTTTAGGAGTTAGGGTTTAGGGTTCAGGGTATAGGGCTTTGGATTTAGGATGTTTATTGGTGTTTAGGGTTTAGGATTTAGAGTTTAGGAAAAAGGATTTAGGGCTTAGGGTTTAGGATTTATGATTTAGGGCTTAGGGTTTAGGATTTTGGGGTTTGGGAGGGATCCCCCATAAACCCCAAGGTACTGTAATCCTCATAATGACTAACGTCGCACAACCCTATGGCTTTGAACCCCCATATAGGATTTGCGGGGATTCTCGTATGCACATTTGGCTCAAGAGCGGATCACTCGTATGAGCTACATATTCTAGACTCCTAGCATCCACCTTAATACCCCCTATAATACTCCCCTATATAGTCCCCTATCTGAGCCCTTTAGGAAGTTTAGACACCCTAAACCCTAAGCCCTAAACCCTATGCCCCTAGGCCCTAAACCCTAAACCCTAAGCCCCAAGCCCTAAACCCTAAAGCTCATATGTAACCCAAGGCTCTCAAAGATAGCCGTCAGGCCCGAGAGCTTCTTCTCACCAGTGTAACTCTCGTAGCCATTGAAGATCCGGTCCAGCAGTTTGTCGAGTTGACGAACCTCATGAAGGTTTAGGGTTTAGGGCTTAGGGTTTCAGGCTTTGGGCTTAGGGTTGGAGGTTTAGGGTTTAAGTTTAGGGCTCAGGGTTTGAGGTTTAAAGGTTTAGGGCTTAGGGTTGAAGGTGTAGGGTTTAGGGCTAAGGTTCAGGGTCTAGGGTTTAGGGTTTATGAAGGACCCCATGCCCTAAACCCGCACCTTTCCACCTGGGCCGAAAATGACATATTGTAGGGATTGTAAGGGCTATGTAAGTCGAACAGGGTATGGGCGTATGTTATTCGTATGTTATTCCGCATTTACGGGAAAAGTAGATTCCAAGAGATCCTGTACTTATTCGGAATCTCCTACATTAAGCCCCCTAAAATAGACCCCGTCCTAAAAATCCTACACCTTCGTGCAGACCTCTACTGTCTCAACCTAGAGGAAATCTTCAGACACTGAACCAGCACCCTAAATCCAAAACCCTAAATCATACACCCCAAACCCTAAACCCTAAATAGTAGTTTCCAATCTATTTTCCATTATCCCTATATAACCACTTTGAACCCTAGTCCCCAAACCCTAAACCTTCCCATGGCCGTGCCAAGAGTCAGCTGCCGTTTCGGGCCCCTCGCGCTTCAAACACGAGTCCACGAGCAGCTGCACGGCAAGAGCCATAGTGATCTGCCCTAGCCTAGGCATATAGTCCCCCTCAAGTAGAAAGAATACCGGGTATATGGGGATCTTATTATAGCATACCCAAAGCCATATCCTATCTAAAGGGCGATTGTATGGGTTTGGGATTAGGGTTTTGGGGTGAGGGTTTTGGGGTTAGGGTTTTGGGGTTAGGTGTGTGGCATAGTGCAACAGTCGACAATCAAAGAGAAAGGGAAATAGAACATGACAAGAGACTGCTATTTATTTGGGATAAGTTTCGATTCTAGGTTTTAGTTTCTGTTGTTTGGGACTTCATTATAGCCCAATTATGTAGAAACAGATAAACTAAAAAGTCTCAGCTCCAAGCCCTAAACTCCAGAGCCTCAAGATCAACCTAATGTTTTTGGGCCTTTGGCCGCGAGTTCCAACAGGAAGCATTCCGCAACTTTGGGGCTAGCCTTCTACACCGTTCGGGTACTGTCAGCTTCCTCAGAGGACACTGGTTTTAGCCGGGGCCACGTTCTGGATTCCATCACAATTCAGGGCTTGGAGTGTAGGATTTGGAGTCTAGGAACGGCTGGGTTTAGGCTTAGGGTCGGGGTGGCTATTATATCCCATACCTAGAGGAGCTGCAATCAAGATTTCCCAAATGATCCAGGGACATGGGTTCCTACTAGGAATATATCAGGGAATATACTAGCCTTCCAGGAACCCTAGGTCCATCCTTAATGGGCCCTTGGTAAGCCTAATCCTGTGAGGAGGACAAAGCAACAACATTTGCTATTTCAGGTTTGGACCTTAAACCCTAAACCCAAAGGCATGTATGCGCAGGCGCCTAATGTGGGCACTGAACCTTGGATTCATTGTTCATCTACCCTAAACCTTAAACCCTAAATCCTAAACCCTAAACACAAGTGAAACGTCTTGCCTCCCGGGCATGACGAGTACAAGCCCAAAAAAAAGAAAGTCCTAGAAGCCAGCTTGAAGTGAGCCAGGGAGTTGTGTCCATTTATGTGAACCAATCTCTAAATTCCTAGTATCCCCCTTAATGACCCCTATAGTAGTACTTTATATAATCCCCTCTACAGGAGTAAAGACTATAGCTTATGTAGCCCTTGCGGCACTGTCCCTCCGCAGCCCCTGAAGAACAGACCATGCATCTGTTATTGCTAGTTGATATCCAGATCAGACTTTCAATAACAACATGCTGCTACCTGCCAAACCAATCGATATGATGGTCTCCGTTTTGCTTTTCGTTCCCTCATTCCTTACTCACCACCCTAAATCCCGAGCCCCAAACCGTATAGTGGCTTATCTTTTGTTTTCCGTTCCCTCCTAAAACCAACGAGAACCAGGGAGCTCGCAACAGCGGGCGTTGAAACCCTAAACCCTAAACCCTAAACTACTAAAACCAACGAGAGCCAGGGAGCTCGCAATAGCGGGTGTTGAAAAGGTCGACGTTAAGCCCACCAGTGCAAGGAGTCAGCAGCGGGTACACGCCGAACCCCGCGATCAAACACCCAACCAAGCTCCACTGCAAGGACGTGAAGTACATGTACATGAAAACCCAGACCTCCGGTCTAGGGCGTTTGGGGGGTTTAGGGTTACCTAAAATACAAAAGTGTGTAAAATAATGGCCCTAAACCCATAATAATAGCCCTAAAGGCCATCATTTTACATACTTTTGGGGTTCAGGTATGCCAAAACCCTAACGATCTCAATTCCTACCGACTTGACGTATAGAATACATCTTAAATCCCAATGCCAAGCCCTACATCACCAACCCAAAGACTTACCCGAAATCCAAACCCTTGAACCCCAAAATCCAAGAAGTCCTGATCCCAAAGCAGCAAACCCTAAACCCTAAACCCTAGATCCTAAACCCTAATTCCTGGATCTGAAGACATCTGAGCCCCACACATAGATCCAGATGGCCAAGAATGCCGCAACCTTGTGTCTTGCAAGTTGAGGGTTTAAGTGGGTTCTAGGTTTAGGGTTTAGGCCTTTAAAGGTTTAGGGTTTCGGGGTTTAGGGTTCAGGGTTTTGGGGTTTAAGGTCTGGAGTTCAGGGTTGAGGCACAGGGTCTAAAACCCTAAACCCTAAACCCTAAAGTTCACGGTTTAGGGTGGATGGTGCTGAGTGTATGCTGCAAGGCTTAAGCTCGAGTACTCCAAGATCTGAGGCTTAGATAAGGCTGAATGTTTGGGGTTTAGGGTTTAAACTGTAAGGTTTAGGTTGCGGAGAACGATAATGCAGATTAGGGTTCGGGGAGATACCAACGACATAGGCGCAGTAGCTGCAACAAGAGCCAGCATGCGAGGTATACTGATAGTGGTAGAATTAGTAGGTAATGACATCCAACCCTTGACCCGAAACACACCATTCCTGGGTGAACCCTCAAGGTTGCACCATGATATCATAATGTCCTGCACCCTAGTTTCCTGGGTTCCCCTGCACGCCATCCCCCCGTTGATTTACGGCTAATTGAGCGGGAACCTGGGGGAAAGATGGGGGTAGTATTAGTAGAGGAACCCATGGAATTCAGAGGTCATCTCATACTACCCGACATGTGAGGGCACGGTATCATCATACCATGCACCTGCAACCCTGAACCATGTCATCACACTACCAGCAAACCCTCAACCATGAAGGTCCTTACACCCCGAGCCCTGGCCCACAATGTCATAATGCTCTTAGCCCCGGAATCTAGACTTCGCAAATCCCTGGACCCCTAAGCTAGAAAAACCCACAAGCATGAACCTGTGACCCTAAACTTTACACCTTACTACAGAGTCTCCAACCCCTAAGCCCTGACCAGTACAACCAAAGCCCAAGACCCGTAAACCTGAACCCCTACAAGCTAAACCTTACCATATGACGCCTAGGCACTTCAATTCTATGTCCTCTACAGCCTGAACCCTCCATAAACCTTGAAGCCTACTGCAACCCTCCAAACCCACAGCTGGCAACGGAGCGTGTTGATGAACCACAATTGAACAAAGACAGTCCGGAAAGGATCAGTAGCGGCAGGACCTGCCGACAACCCTGAGGGGGGCTTGGGGTTTGGGGATTTAGGAGTTTAGGGTGGTTTAGGATTTGGGGGTCGTGGGCTTCTTTGTTAAGGACTTTGGTGATAAACCCCACACCGTAAACCCTAGACCCTAAACCCAGGGGTTCGGGAGGTTTAGCATTCTGTTTGGAGGCACGCGCCGGGGTTGGTTTGAGAAACTGCCACAGCATGATCTGGTAGGTTGTCAAGCTTATGTTCCAGTTTAGGGTTCAGGGTTTAGGGTTTAGGGCTGCTATTCTAGAACGGCCTCTGATAAACCAAGCATCCAAAATGGGGCGATAGTTTTGAAAACTTTCCATGTAAGGAACATACGGATATACATCGACAATCGCATAGTACGGCGGTACACTGGTGATAATACCTGAAGCCCGATACCTCACACCCTAACCCCCACCCAATTTCAAACCCCCAAACCCTAAACCTCAAACTCTAAATCCAAAACTTCAAACCCTAAACCCTAGACCCTGAGCTATGGCGAGAAAACCAGCACCTTGCCCAGAAGCACCCCAAGAAGTCGGTGGATGTTGTTGGTGAAAGCCTCAGATTTGGAGCTTCCCCAAAGAGTTTCAGTGTTGAGGGCTGAGGATTTCGGGACCCTGGGATGCCTTGTGGCTTTAAGGAAATGGTTTAGGGTTGAGGGCTGAGGGTTGAGGAGATGCGGGGGTCCTTACTCAGGCTTACCTGAGGATCGTTTTGATAAATGCCCACATGTGTGCTTGGGGGCCTCAGGAGAAACAGTTAGCGTTTGGGATCCTGAACTCGGGAATTAAACTTGTTAAGCAGATGAAGAATTTAGTTATTAGGCTCAGGGTTTGGGGACCTGGGTCAGGGGGGTAGGGGTTTAAAACTTAGTCAATACGAGAGGTTAGGGCTGGGATTGTCCGCCCCTGTTCGGCCCTATGGTATGGAAACTGTCCTGCTTCTCATGAAAAATAGACAACAATTTGGAAGAGAAAGATGCGAATGGCCCAAAAAGCCTGATGCTGAAGCGGATTCAAGAGAAATGAAGGCCTTGACCCTCCCAAAAACGAACATGCAAACCCATACAGCCATCTTTCACAAGACAGAGATCCTTTCGGTTTGCATATTCGTTTGGGAAGGTTCCAGATCCTAACCCCTAGACTCTAAACCTAAATTACAACACTAACACCCCTAAACGCTAAAGCCTAAACCCTACAACCAAGCCCCAACATTGAATCAAGCTTGGGACAGCAGGGTTGATCCTTTGCAGGGGATCATAAGGATTATATAGGGTGTAAGTCGGCCAGATAGGGTTCATGGGGCTTAGGCTTTACTAAGGCCACGGACTAAGTTGCTAGGATTCGAAATCTGAGGAGGCTACTCATTAACTTGCAACCTCTAACATTCAAGACCTTACGGCCAGGAGTCTGTGCTTTGATACGTGGAGATGAGAAGACCCAGCGTTGCAGGCATTATAGGGCCGTATGGCTTGAAAACATAGCCGTCCAGCCTCAAGCAAAGGTTTAGGATTCAGGATTTAGGATTTGAGGTTTGGGGGTTTGAGGTTTAGGGTTTGGGGGTTTACGGGGTTGGGGATTAGGACTTAGGATTGAGCGTCTAGGGTTCAGGGATTGGACTTGATGTAGAGGTTGCTTCATGGTGGTTGTACTGTATAAGCCAGCGTTAGATATGAAGAGTGAAGTGGACAATCAAATGGGGAGAGTGAAATATGTTCTTGGTAATTAACCCTAAACCCTAAACCACACTAAACCCAAAGAGAAACATGTTATTGGTGGTTATCCTGGGGCTACTGCAGGAGTCCATTCCTCCATTCCCTACTGACAGCCAGTAGGTACTGCCCCGACAGAGACTGGCCCCCAACCCCATGAATGCAGAGAGATTATTCCAGAAATAAGGGATCCTACGCATCATGGATCCTACATACCTGTACCTGGAACCCCAAAATATGACGGAATAATGGCCTGTCGGGTGGCTTTTTAAAGGTTTGGGGCCTTTGTTTCACCTACTTGTGGGGTACAGGTACTACCGTTACAAGGTTGGGACAGGTCCCTCTAGGAAGATCGCAAGATGACAGCTACGTGAAAACTTGCATATCATTCTGCAAAATTATGCTACCTGCTTGCTGAGTTCCCTTATCCCAAACAGCAAAGAGCGTAAACTTACTCAATCTAAAGGGCCTACAGGCAGTTTCTACATGGCTACAAGGGCTATATGTTCATGTCAGACCACAAGTTGTGAACTCATGCGAATTCACAAACCTTAAATCCTAAACCCTAAAACAAGCCAGCTCTAACTCAACAAACCAAGCCTGTAAGACTCTCGAAGTCGAACACCTCAACAAACTCAAAGTGGGTGATTGCCAATGCTATTGCCTCATTGGTTGTTGGTATGAAGGCGTGCGAGAAGAAAATCGAAGCTACGTTATTACTGGGGGTGATATGGGGTCACTATGAGAGCCACTGCTCCATTTTCTAGAAACAACCAGTAAGTTCGTAGCTATGAACCCTAAACCCTAAACCCCTAAACCCTAACCCCCTAAACCCTAAACCCTAAACCCTAACCCGCCTATATATATATATATATGCACTATCCTGTGCATTGTTTTGATCCGCACAGGGAGGTACAGTAGGAAGTCCTTGTCTTCGCCACCCTAAACCGTCAACTAAGGGGTTTAGGGTTTAACCCCAAGCCCAGACCTGAAACCCTTAACCTTAAACCCTAACCGCGGTCCATCCGACGCTTCAAGTCATTGGGCAATTGAAGGCACTCTTCAGTCTACACAAAAGTATGCAAGCGTAGAAGTGGGGGGCTTTCTTGCCCGAATATGGACCCCAATATATTATAATCCTTACTATATGGACTCCAACAAATGGGCACTGATTTCGGAAACCCCCAAGTCATCAGGCCTGATTGCCAGGAAGAACACAATGGTGATGCCCACAAAGTTTCGAGCAGCAAATGTGAGGTGGTTGAGATCTCAGCTGCAGGTAGAAGTCTTAGGGCTTAGGGCTCAAAGCTAGTCAAGGTAGGTGTCCTGCCCCAAGCAGCCCCTTACTTCAAGGGAACCTGGGGTAGGAGCAAAGCAGCGCCCAAACAGTATATACCCTGTAAGCATGTGTTCAGACTGAGATTAGGCTGTGAATCAATCCGACAAAGCCTATATGTGCTAGCAACGCCGATGGAGGAAATCTTGCACCAACTTCTATAGCCCCACTAATGGTCACTATACAGTATTTGGGAGATGCTAAGTGGTGCAAGGTTTCTTCCATCCAGCACATGCAACCGGGCAGGACCAGGAACAAGTGAGATGGCACACGCACAAGCAAAACTTACGGGAGTGGGAGTGAAAGGTGCTGCATGTGAGCAGTCCATTAGTGGGTCTAAAGCTTAGACTTTAGGGTTTAGAGCTAGAGTTTAGAGGGATTATGCTCCTCCCATAACATTATACGCTTGCCCTACTAAAGCCTACATGATCACTTTCCTGATGCGCACTCACGAGAAACAACTGCATCCAGCAGGATGCGCGGTCAGACCTAAACCACTTCATCTATACCGGTAAAAAACATGTCAAAGCGCAACGCTTAAACACCTGACACATCTTGCATTGGGAGTAAGGGTCTACAAAAAGTCGAAGATCCCAAGAGGGCGCTCCCCGTCCTGCTGACTGCTTGCCGGCAGAAAGCCATCTTGCAATGCCACGCAAGAATCCAGGCAGCATTATTAGACTGGCAATAGCGCCACAAATCTCTACTCAGTCAACTAGTTGCACTAGAAATCTGATCTCAGCGAAGGTAAGCCTATTACAACTTCGGTAGTTTGCAGACATGAGGCTCGTGATCTTGCTCGGTGCCCACGTGTTGTATATCCTGCAGTGAAGGGCAGCTGAGCCCCTCAAGAATACCAAAGCAGCAAACACGAAAGCTTGGGAGAAGCAGGCCCTTATCACGGGTTCCCGTACTACCCCCTCGAAACTACCCCCCTAGATTCACCCTTGTTTGACCTGAACTAAGCCTAATCATCCCTAAATAACGTCAATTAAGGGTGTACCTAAGAGAGTAGTATGGAGGGGGCTAGTAGGGGAACCCAAGACCTTAGGGTTCGAGGTGTAATTAGGGTTGCCCTACCAGACCCCCGGAAGTATGAAAAGCAACGGCCTTCCGGTCTGGTTTTGTAAGGTTTAGGGGTCTTTTCTTTGCCTACTCTTGGGGTCGGGCAAACCATAAATCCTGAACTCTACACCCAGAATCCTAAATCCGACCTCCTGAGTCCTACCTCCAGAGCCCTAAACCCTAAACCTTATACCCTCTAGAGCCCCAAACCCTGAACCTTAAACGCTCTGGAGCCCTAAACCCTAAACCCTAAGCCCGGAGCCGTGAACCCTACTTGGAGGGTCAGGGAGACTTAGTAACTAGGTTAATAATGGGGATAATTGGGTTTACTATTTGGGTTACAGGGGTTATTATATTCCCAGTCCCTAAATCGTACCCAGCACCCCAAGCCCTAAACCCCAAACTCTAGACCGTAACCCCCGGACATTCAGGCTAGACTCAAACTAGGGTGGAGGCTACAGAAACCAAAGCATGCTGAGGACAGTGCCCCTCCCAGCATCCATATGCCAGGTGCAAGCAGTTGTCGCCACGCCAACAATGAAAGTCACCCTCCTCCACGAGCCGCAGGGTCAGAAGTGAATCAAGGTTCAGGGTTATGCATTGGAACCAAATTCCAATGAGGGGACTTCATATCAAGGGGATAGAAGGCGTATAGAAGGCTAGGACAACGGGGGAGGTACATATTGGGTACATAAGGCTAATATAAGGTCCCTACATGGTAACTCACCTCCTGTAATCCCTTTAGGGCTTACTTGCCGCCTGCTTACCAGGAGGGATTTAGACAATAGGTACGGTTCACTATTCACTCCGTTTGGGGCGTAGGCTTTCAGGTTCAAACCGTTGGCTCCTGCGCAGGCTAACCCCCCCCCACCCCCCCCCACACACTGCTTCATAACTTACCTCTGGCTAGCAGCGAGTGAAAGAATGGAAAGAAACTGGGCACTAGCATCTTTATTAGACATTATACCAGCAAAAGTCTAAACTCCTAGTATCCCCCTTAATAGCCCTCATAATAGTCCCCCATTTAATTCCCTATTTAATTCCCTATATGAAAACCCTTTAAGGAGAATAGACTATGGCTTATACAGGGGCTAGGATTCTCACATGAACGAAAGTCTAAACTCCTAGTATCCCCCTTAATAACCCCTATAATAGTCCCCTATATAATCCCCTACATAACCCCCTTTAAGGAGTTTAGCTCACATGCATATCCATTAAACTCAGGATCTGCTTAGCTTGTTGCCACTGTATTCAACTCCTTTCCAAAGAAATCCTTCAGAAGGGGCCCCGATTTTGAGGAGCCTCAAAAGGTCATAGGGTCTAAAAAGGGGATTAGGGTTTAGGGATTGGGGTTTAGGGATTAGGGTTTAGGATTTGGGGTCTTGGTTTGGTTTACAGGGTGTAAGTGTTGGGGTGATGCTTTGGGGTTTATATAGGGATAAGGCATATTACACCGATAATGCAGAATGAAAATGGGAAATAACAAAGAAACTCGGCTTAGTTATCACACCCTGGCCCACATACTCCAAGAATTGCTGCGTGCTCAATTTGTTTATAAAGCCTAAGAACCAAATAATCAGAGCCCTGCTAATCCGTAAGGCGCCCGGAAACTCACACCCACCGATGCCGCAACAGTCTCCTAAACTCTAACTCCCTAAACCCTAATTCCTAAAACCCTACTTCCCCAAACCCTAAACCCCAAACCCAAATCCTAAACCCTAAACCCCAAAACCCTAAGCACTGAGCCGCATGCTCTCCCACCAAATCGTCAACCCCCAACACTCCGCCCTATCCCTCATTGAGGTTTAGGGTTTTAGGATTTAAGGGTTTAGGGTATAGGGTTTAGGGTTTGGGTCATTCCCCCTAACAGCTTGTCCCCACAGTAGGTACTTCCAGTAGGAGTTAGAATAGCTACGTAATGAGGCCTATTCAAGGACAGGTACTGTAGGTGGGAATGACCCAACCAATGCCTATGATGCCCCAAAATGGGATCCAGCACCTTCCCGTCTCACTTCCCACTTAAATCTGTATGGTAGCGCAGAAACCCCATTTTTGAAGCCCCCAACGACAAACCTAAACAGTCAGAAACCCCAAACGCCTCAAACCCTCAGAAAAAAAAAGGAAAAAACGCTAGAAACCCTCGAAACCCCCACCTTTACCCCGCGCACCTTCTCGTCCCACTCAAGGACGAGGTTTGCAAGATCCGCAGCTTTTCGGGCCGTGAAAGACGTGGAAAAAAGCATGATCGTCTCCTTGGGAGGTGGGGCAGGGCTCAGGGTTTAGGGCTTAAGGCTTCTGTTTAGGATTTAGGGTTTAGGGCTTGCGGTTTAGAGCTAATGGTTAGGGTTTCGGTTCTATGTTTTAGGCAGCTTCTAGCCAGGGTTGGGGACTCAGGGTGGGTAGGTACCAGGTAGCTGCCCGCAAGGCTCCTGTGTACGGGCTTGATTCGAGGGTTTCGGCCATCAGGGTGTTGAGAGTACGGGTGGTTAGTAGGGAATAAGGGAATATGATCCCTATGTAATCCCCATACGACATATTCCCTTACTCCCGACCAACCCACAGCAAGTGGGAATTTGGAGAAGGTTTGAGGAGCCCAAGGGCTGCGGTGGTTAAGGCTTTCACGGTTTTGCGTACGCGGTTTAGGGTCTCCCCAGAACCAGCATGGAAACCCATACAAGCCTTTTTAGAAGACAGTGTCGCTGTACCACTTTTCCGCTTCAGTGCTTCATTGGTTGGAGGATGCCCCAAGTGATTCTACACTCTCTTGCATTCTAAACGCTAACGCTGATCCCTAAACCCTACTTCCCTAAACCCTAAACCCAAAAATCCCTAAACCATGAACCCTCAATTTCATAGGAGGGTCATCGGCCAGATCATCCGAAGGTACTTTGACAACGTCTCTATAGTCCTTGACCTTAGTTTTCAAGGCTTAGGGTCGAGGGTTAGGGTTTATGCCTTCAGGGCTTAGGGGGGACATGACTGAATTCGCGGCTCACAGAAGCCTTTCCAGCAACCTTCTTGCAGTTGCATGATGGGAGGGCTGGGGGGTGCTGAGTAGCTCAGATTATGCGCAGCACGCTACAGGCGTTACAAGCCTACTTAACCCTAAGGATCCAAGGACCCCAATAATTGGGTTGTAGGGCCCAAATACCATTTGTATCAGAGTCTTTGGGCCATCAAACCCTATTCTTTGGGTCCTTGGACCCAGAACAAATAAACCCTAAAACCCTACTATTTGGGTCCTTGGACCCTAAACCCTAAACCCTGAAACCCTATTACTTGGGGTCCTTGGACCCTTAGGGTAGCTCATTTTTGCATATTCAACCCGCGGTCCTAATATTGACGAAAGTGAGTTTCTGAAGCTTACGCTAGGTGCCACCGCATGAAGCACCCCAAAGAAGCCTGGTCTAGGGTCTACGGTTTAGGGGTTTAGGGTTTAGGGTTCAGGCTTTGGGTTTAGCCTATAAAGCCGAACCCAATGCAGAAACCTCACACATCTCCATGTCTATATGCTTCTGCAACACACTCGTTGCAATTCCTGGGCCCGACCTGAGACTGAGAACCCTAATCCCTGAACCCTGAACCCCGAAATCCCTAAACCCTGAATCCCTAAAGCCTAAGTCCCAAAATCCCTGAACCCTAAACACTAAACCCTAAAACCCAGAATCACTAAACCCAAAACCCAAATCCCTAAACCCTGAACCCCTGAATCCCTAAATCCCTAAATCCCTTGACCGTAAATCCATAAACCCTAACCCTACACCCTAAAACCATAAACCCTAAATCCCTAAACCCGAAAACTAAACCCTAATTCCCTGAATCCCTAAACCCTAAACCCCAAAACCCCAACTCCCTGAACCCTAAATCCCGGAACCCTAAATCCCTAAACCCTAAATCCCTACACACTAAATCCCTGAATCCCTAAACCGTAAATCCCTGAACCCTAATCCTACACCCTAAAACCCTAAATCCCTAAACCCTACATCGCTAACCCTCAATCCCTAAACCGTAAAACCCTAAACCCTACACCCTAAATCCCTAAATCCCTAAACCCGAAACCCTAAATCCCTAAATCCCTAAACCCTAAAACCCAAATCCCTGAAACCCTAAATCCTACACCCTAAAACCCTAAATCCCTAAACCCGAAATCCTAAACCCCTAAACCCTGGCTGAGAAGAAGGCCAACTTCTTCTGCAAGACCCTCACATGGTCGCGAGATTCCCTGATGGCCCTCATCCTGGGCTAGGTTTAAGGTTTCGTTTTAACCCCGGGGACGTTTACGCCTGCATGAAGCACGGGCCCCAGCACTTGGTTTCAGTCTGAAATCCAGCGTCACGTGTAGGTTTAGGGTTTAGGGATTAAGGCTTCGGATTTAGGATCGACAGACAGGGTGAAGGCTTTGGGGCTTGGAATTTATAGAAAGGTTGCAGGGCTTAGGGTTTAGGATTTATGGGGAAGGTTGAGGATTTAGGGTTTTGGAGTTATAGGGGGGGTGAAGGAGCTAGGGTTCCGGGTGGAGAGTGTAGCATCTAGGCTCACAGGTCAGGGCTTTGGAGTTTTCACATGGGGCGTTTCTTGTGAACATTCCTCAAGTTCACTGTGCCCTAAGGGAGTGGCAGGTGGATTCTAGCAGGCAATTAGGGTTCAGGGTTTAGGGTGTAGGGTTTAGGCTTCAGGGTTTAGGGTTAAACCCTAAAGGTATCGAAATTACTTCTGGCACTGGGCTCAGGATCTAGGGAACCCTTCTGGAATACAGGTTCCCACTTTTTGGGGTTACAAAAGTATCCCCCTAAACCTTCAACCTTAAACCCTAAAACCTAAAGCCTCAACGCTAATCCCAAGAGTATGCTCCCCAGCCTTAATGTTCTTGTTAGTTAGGCCTTGCTAAGCCCTACATGACCCGTATCAACTCCTCAAAACCCATGGAGGGGTACCATGCGGGATGGTCAGGCTGGACT